GAGCCAGCTGTGTGCGCTGGCAGCCCAGAAAGCCAACCATGTCCTGGGCTGTATCCAGAGCAGCGTAGCCAGCAGGGTAAAGGAGAGGATTTTCCCCCTCTGCTCTGCTCTTGTGAGACCTCCCCCACAATTCTGCCTGCAGCTCTGGGGCCCCCAACATCAGAAGGATATTGACTGGTTGGAGCGAGTCCAGAGGAGGCCATGGAGATGCTCCAAGGGCTGGAGCCCCTATGCTATGGGGGCAGGCTGAGAGTTGGGGGTGTTCAGCCTGGAGAAGAGAAGGCTCCGGGGAGACCTTACAGCACCTTCCAGTACCTGAAGGGGCTGAAAAGAAAGCTGGTGGGGGGACTTTCAAGGGCCTGTAGTGACAGGACAAGGGGTAATTGGTTTAAATGGCTTTTAGATATGAGGAAGAAATTCTTACTGCAGAGGGTGCTGAGGCACTGGGACAGGCCAGGGAAGCTGTAGATACCCCATCCCTGGAAGTGTTCAAGTCCAGGATGGATGAGGCTTTGAGCAACCTGGTCTAGTGGAAGGTGTCCCTACCCATGGCAGGGAGGGTGGAACTGGATGGTCTTTAAGGTCCCTTCCAACCCAGACCATTCTACCTTTCTGTGCAAAGCTCTTCTGGGTTGCTGCCAGAATTTTTAATTTTTATGGTGTGTTTTTGGTTTTTTTTTTTATATCAAGGCACTACGGTTTCTGACGAATGGCATGGTTTGATTCTGCTCATTTCTTTAGCTCACAGGGTCAAGAGGAGAAAAGTGAGCTAGGGGAGCAGTGGTTCTGGTTCATTCTTGTCACACTGCTGGGTTCTGTGCTGGCATTGGTAAATGGTTGCTTAAGAATGTAATCTCTAGCATTATTTTAGACTGCTCGTTTCCTAGGACATCTTCAAATAACTTAGTGTGCACTTGGGAATCGGAATCTTGAGCCAACTTCAGTGAATTGTTGCTGGGTAGTCAGGAAACGCAATGGATTATCAAGGTTATAATCTGGTTGGTTTCCTGACTCTGATCTGGGTTTTAACAGTGTTCTTGGTGTGGGTGCCTCTGACTTCAATTTAAACATTTGTCCAACAAGGGACTTTTTATTTTCTTGAGGAAGGAAACAGTGTGTGTAATTTAGCACGTTATTGCCGGTACTCAGCCTGTTCACCCATGCATCTCTCTCTGCTTCTCTCTCTTTTTGAAACGTGTGATTGGAGGGCTGTATCAGGGTATATCCAGTGAGATGGAGTGGAAGTTCCTACAGACCACTTGTGCTGTGGCAAAATGTCTCCTTCTGTCAGTCTGTGGTCATTGCTATCGTTAGTTGTTTTTGATCAGAGTAGACTGATGCTTTTGACTTGCATAAGTGCATTGGTTGATTTATTTCCAGGAGCCCCATCCCTCCCCTCCTCCCCCTGCCCTTGTGTTGCAATGAGCAAATAATCCCTAAAGAGGAGCTCAGTAACAATAAGTGTATTGGCAGATGTCAGAAAATACACTCATTCAATTTTTTTTTTTCCTGTGGCTTTACATCTATATATGGATCTTCGCCAGTAAAACACCAAGTGTGACATTCCAAAGTCTCTGGTTGCTCAGAGTTGAACTTATTTCTTCTTCCTGCCTAAAGACTGTTCTGGACCAGACTTCTAATTTCATAAGAACTTTCATATATTCTTCACCTGGAACTCTTACTGCTGGTGTTTTTCCATGAGCTTTTAAAATTTAATGTTAGATTTCTTAGCAATGAATTTTAAGAGACTTCCTTATCGTCTGTGTCCAAGTTGCGTGCTTCAAGACCCTTTTGTGCACAGTCTCATATAAAAAGCTGTCCTTCAAGGTATATTTGTATAGGCACCCCATTCAGAATGTTATTTGCTTCCTTCTGACTCGTGTTTTGTGGGGGAGGATGTTGAGCAAATCTGAAATATGCTGCTTTTATTCTTCTGGCAGTATGGTTCAAAATCAGTGGGTTTTTTTAATGTACCATTGCTTTTCCCAGTGACTTCCAGTGAACAAATCCAATGGTTCCTTGGTGCTTGACTACAGGAATCTTTTGGTTAACAAACTGCATGACTTAGGGGTGAATACCGAAACATAAGTTAAATTCAGTTCTTTGTGTTAATACATGAACCAGTGTGCACTGATACTGCATAAAGACCCTATACCTGTTCAGGAACCCTTGTTATTAGCAGTACCTTCTTCATGGCTTGGGCTGTTTGTTCTGACCATATCTTGCAGTTTTTCTTTCGTCAAGTAGTGAATTCACTGCTGTCTGAGTGGCCTTCCGTCTTTTCTGCTACTAGCATGGAGGTCTGGCGTTACACCCACTGCAGTCTGCATCCAAGTATGTCTTGTCTTCTGCATCTCATTTTTCTCCAGGATGATTGAGTTTTTTTATCCTGTTGAGACTGGTTTTGGGACAGAACTCTGTGTATTGTACGTGAGTGGTGTGTACTGGACCTTTGTCTCAGCTGAAGACTTAATTGGACTGTAATAGAAAACATTTTGTATATGGACACGTGGTATTAAGAGAGTTTAGTTGCTAAAGATCTTGGCTGATATTGGAATTCTCATCTTGAGATGGAAAGATCCCTTTGGCACTGCTGAGCTTCTCAGTTCTTGCCCTGCCTGTCTGAGGGCTAGAATAGAGTGTGCAAGATGAAATCATCTGAGATCATCTTCCTTTATATAAACAGGAACTTTTATATTCATTCCTGCACTTGGGAAGAAGGGGAAAAATCCACTGTATCTATTTGTCTTGCTGCATGTACATTGAGATACAGATGTGTCTGATACCACCTAACTAAACAAAGCCCATCTTCTCTGCCTAAACAAAGGCCATCTTCTCTAGTGGTAGATGTGCAAAGGAACATCAGTAAGTCAATTTTAATCCCAAAGTTTGTAACAAACTTGCGAAGACTTGTAACCAAATTAAGAATTCTTTTCAGCAGTTTGTTTTTAAAGGCACAGTATTGCTGTGCGTTTTGCTTAACCTAAGCACGGGAGGCTCTGGGTCATGCAGGACAGCCATGGGCTGTGTGACTTCGGGTGTTGAGATTCACTCCTTTCAGATCATCTTCATTCTGCTGAATTGCATGATGGACTTTGCGGGAAATAACTTGTCAGCTTTTCCCCAGCCATAGCAGGGAAGATGATGTAACTCGAGATGAGTCTTGGGGACTTGGATGTGTGCAGGAGCACCAGTGACATCGGCTGGCTTGTCTTCTCTCTGATTGCAGTGCAAAACGTATCAAAATGGAGAAGTCACTTTCTTGTAGTTTAAGTGATCTAAAATATTCTGAGATTGCCAATATCCCTTCTGAATGCTGTGAATCTGAAAGGGGAGTAGGAGAATATAAATACAGACTTGTTTTAAACCTTTTCTGAAAGACAGTATTTTCTTTTTTTATCTTCCTCTTTGTGTTCCAGGGTGCACTCCTAGAAAGTGTGGAAGAGGTGTGACCGATGCAGTAATCACGAGGGAAGAAGCTACAAGAATCCGTAGGTAATTTTTCTTTTAGCTGTTTTAATGTTGACAAGCACTTACTTTAATGATTGTGTGCCAGGGCTTAAGGTGTAGCACAAAGGTTATTAACTGGAAGAGGATGGGTTAAACTGGGTAAAACACTTAAACTTCTGTTTTGAAAAGGCATTTTCCATTTTTGCTGTAGTGGAGGCAGTTCTCTCATAGAGAGTCTGCCTAGCTCTGTGGGGCATGAGTGTTGTAGAGAAAAAAGGAAAATGAATTAAATAATTTTTAGAGTATTGTCACTTGACTTTCTGTTCCGTTTGGCCTTTAAAACCAGAACAAAACAACATAAGCCTCCTTTCAGCTGAGTCTCTTTCTGGGTCATTGTGAGCTAGTGCCAACCCTACAGCCCTCTATGAACACAGAGTGGTGAGTTTTAATCAGATAGTAGGGGAAATGTCAAATTATGCAGTTGGAAAAGTTATCAGTCTCCTTGAGTGCCATTTACATGAGTGTCAAGTGCAAGTGGGGGTGTCACTGTAAGGCTCGAAGCAATATGCAGCAGGTACAAGTGCTGTGTTCCCTAGTCAGACCCGCCACTCTGATTTCACGTTCAGTTGAGCTCCTGATTTGGATACATCATTTCTGCATTGTGCAGGTTTACTGGTACTGCCCTTAAGAATCCAGATCTGGGGTTTCTTGTATGTTGAATCTTTCTTGTCAGAATGTGGGGGGTGTTTTGGGCATTTATGGGAGTGGGCTACAAGCTCAGAAATGTTCTGCAGATTGCATACTTTAATTTTCATGACACGCTGCAAGATTCAGTTTCAAATAAACAGCAGCTTCTGCTAACTCAGTCGGGTTATCGCTGATGCCTCAAATACCACTTACTGAAGAGTTACATGTTGTAAATAATGACATTAAAGTAATGACAAAGTAATCAGACTTCAGTTCTCATCTGAGGTTATTTTTTTGCCTGCAGAGTAGCAGAGAGGGGACTGTCCTTGGGAGGATCTGATGGAGGGGTGAGCATTGTCCTCTTACTTTTTACACTCTTTAAGTGCTAAGGTAAGATTATAAATGCATTTTTGGGCCTTGAGGAGATGGAGAATTTTCCTTCCATTCAGACTTGGAAAAAAATTTGTTAAGGAATGTTATTTTATCTCCCATTAATACTTCTGCTAGCAGTGTAATATGTGACTTCTGCAATACAGCTGACATTTCTTATTTCTCAGTTTAGTTATTTCTAGTACCTCTCGAACTAATTTTGTATTCTCCATCTGGATACAGTCACTGTAGCAGAACTGCACGAGTTTGACTTCTGAAACTAAACTATGGTCATTCACAGCATCACGTAAAGATTGGTTTTGTGTAGTGACCAAAAGTGCCATATAATGTCTTAACTAGACCTTTGAATAATATTCTTTAAAAATGCAAAAAGCCCCACTTCCCTTTAGCAAGCACGTTTATTTCACTTTCTTTCCCGTCTTTGTCCTCAGGATGTTTTTCTATGAACAGGAACTGTTTCTTGGCTGTTTGTAAACACAATCATTTCTTGATGCCTCTGCTGATTTAGGGCATGTATTAGCAGAAAAAGAGAGAGGTTTTAAATTAAAAAAAAAAAAAAGGCAAAAAAACTTTATCAACCTTGTGATTGCTAAGAAAGACCTGCAGAAAATATAACCCAAGCAACTTAAGCAGTGCTGCCCGTCTGAAACAATATATTTAAAAGATTGAACATTCAGTTCTGTGATCCTTTGGATTTTTTTCAGTTCTGTGATTGCATAATTTGCCACTCTGCCTGGATTACTCTGCCTGATGCGACCTCTGGCTTAACTCCTGTCATTAGTGCTCTCAAGTGGGTTTCTGTTCTGTTCTTTTGGGACTGGCATGTGATTTTTCATTAGACTTCCACAAAGAGGGATTGGAAGGGCAATGTATAACACGGACAGCTTCATGGATTTGGACAGCAGAAGCTAATGTCCAAGTGGGAGCAGGGAACTGGGAAACTGAGGTAGAGAAAGCTTGGAAGAGACAAGAGGGGAGGTGAACCTCCTTCTCGGTGCCCAGAGCTGGCTTATTTGGACCGTAACAGGCCAGAGTATCAGACAAATATAAATCCATCATCTACATCATTCTGGAAGCATCGTTGTGAGTTGTTTTTATTTTTTTAAAGGGGAGGGAAATGGGGAACAGAGGGAAAAAGACTCTGTTGCTGCAATGAAATAAGTCTGTTAAGAAATTAGATGTCCACTGAGAATTCTGGGGTCTGATCCAAGCCTTCTCACATTTCTCAGAATCTGTAAATGTGAGCAAGTTATTGCATGCTGGTTACTCCTTAGTGAAAAGTGCAGGAAGGAAGTTGTGTAGTATGGCACTGAGGCCTTATCCAAAGTAGTGTATGAACACTGAAAGATGGTAAAAGCAAGAGCTGACCAGTGTTTCTGGGACACCATATTTGGAGAGGCCTTTAAATACAATCTTTTTACCGAGTTTCATTTGTGTCTCTTTCTCCCCTGTTCTGTCATATTCCTCCTTTTCCATGTGCCTGCTGCTGTTCCCCACGTCATGGAGTGAATCTTCTCCCAGTAGTGCTGTCTTGGCTCTCAGATATCATGAAATACTGATGGAATGTGTGGTGATGATGTATACGTGAAACTGTCTTTCTTCATTTGAGCCTTTTATCTTCTTTTCAGATCTCTTATCTACATTGCAGAGAAAATATTTCAAGTCTTACTTTGTCTGGCTACTTTGCCTGTGTGCCTCTCAAGCTTCCAGCCTCTTGGGTTAGGTCTGCCTTGTTGCTTTAAATTTCTGAGGTTTTTAGAGTGTTTGGGTAGTTCTGTCCTATTATGTCTGTTGTTCTATGACTATTTTTTCCCAAAAAATTCCTTAAATAACCCCTTGTTTCTGTTTAATTATTTTTAATTCTTTCTTCAGCCACTTTGATCTCTTTACTATTCCAAATAAAACTTCTGCTGGGAGATTTCTGCTGGGAGGCAAATTGCATTTTCGTTCTCTGATTTCTTCTTAACCCCTTTTTAAGCAACATGTCTGATTTCTTTCATATTTCTTATATTTTGAATTGGATTTGTGTCTCTGGATGTAACTTAATAATTTAAAGACCTAAACTTATGGTGTGTGACTCTTTCAGTTCTCTCCTCCCATTATTTGCTGCCCTCTCTGCTTCCTTGGAGAACTGAAGTAGAGCACAAAATCTTGTTTACTCTTCCATCCTTTTGTGCTGAGAAAGTCCTGGCCAACATCTGAAGTATTGAAATCTCCCAGGAGTCATGACCCAGTTGGCACGCTGAGCTTGCTTTCTTACCTTCCTTTGTAATTTTTCCTCAATTTATTTTTATTTACGCATGCAGAGTGAGGCTGGAAGAGGCCATTGTAATCTTCTACTGTAGCTTCCAACAGAATCTAAACAGGAGCATCTTCTCCCCCAGTGTCCTGCTTTCCATTGTACCTCTCTCTCAGTAAAATGGTGTTATACTCTGTTCCTTTTTCACAGTATGTAAATTGCATTTGTTCTCTTGATGTTTGCCTCAGCTTAGTTTTTTTCTTCTTTATAAAGATAATGACACTTCCCTTTCTTCCCTACCTAGTATTTTCTTGCACGCTGCCCCTCCTTGCATTACCACTTTAGTTATGACTCATTCATTCACGTCTTTGTAGGGGCTGCCGTCACATCTCTCCAGTGTAAGTGAAGCAACTTGTTTACTCTTGGCTCTATTGACATTTATTTGAAGGCCGCCCCCGAAAAATCCCTTGTTGCAGCCCATCAGCTTCAGTCTGTGTCCTGTGTTGCAGCGAAACTGGCAGGAGTAGCCACCTAAACCCCACTTTTACAGTGGAAAATAAAGTTTCTTAATCACTGGGGGAAGCAAACACTCTGTGTAGCTGTGATGCCAAACAGGGTTTCTGACGAAGGCCCGCTGACCCACGCATAGAACATTCTGCAGATGATATCCCTTAGTCTGCTTTCTGCCCTCCCGGCCAAACTCTGAAGTCCTCACAACATTGTCAGCTCTGTGTTTTCCAGGGGGAAAATAAACCCTCTGCATAATACTCATCCTGTCATGCCATTCTTACAGGCTGCATAGTTTTCTTCCTTCATAATTAGCCTTCTGATAGAATTTGGGAAACACACACTTGTGAGGAGCAAGAGACTTACTTGGCACCGTGTTTTCACTTCACTTTCGGCTGTGTCGGTGTGATTTATCTGCAATGAACTCTAGGAAGCTGGAGAGAAGCTGGATGTGTCTAATCTCTATCTCTTCTAATCTTGTACTGGACACCATGGCTGAACATTGTATTTAATTTCCTCAGTAATAACCTCTGACTCCACCCCAGGGATGTATGAATTAGGCTGGTTTTTGCCATATCCTGAGAAATGGTGGTTACTTGCATGTTCTTTTTGAATCATTCTAGAAGTGAGAGGGTGGGGAATGTGGGACTAATAATAACAAGGGTCCAAAAGAACGTATATTTGTGCCTTTTTTTTTTAAGGAAGTTCAATTTCCTTTCTATAGAAGCTCTGTAAACCAGGATATTGGGGCAGTTCTGTCAAACAGTCTCTCGGAAATAGGTGTGTGGGTATGTGTGTTTGTGGTGTTCCTGCCATCTCTAGATAAACTTTGTAGAGCTTCCAGCCTGGGAACACTGACCTGAAGTGTGGGCTGGCCCTTGATCCGATAACTGAACTTGAAGTAACAGTGTTGACACAGGCTTCCACCAAGGTATCCTTCTCCGTGTAGGAAATGATGCTGAGAATGTTTAATGTTCTGAAATGGCAGAGGCTACAGTAAATCTCTTCCAGTTTCTTTCCAAGGTAGCTGTTAAACAAATAGCTCCGTGCTCATGTGTAATCAAGTCCCTGTGCATGTTTGGCATTCAGTTGTCCTCCTCTGTCTGAAACAACCCTGAGGAATATTCTTTCCTTTTCAGATTCCCTTTTCTGTCTTCATCTGGCTTTTCTACACTTTATGTCACAGCTACTCTCTCTTCAACTACGAATATGTACAATTCTTGAGTGTGTCTTTTATTGGTTCATTTGGTCATTTAGGATTTTCCCAGCTGTAATCATCTGGAGCTTGAGGAGTGGGAAGGAATGTGTATGTTTGGAAAGCACGTTGGAAGTGTTTGAAAGACAATTTGTTTTTAAAATCATCTTTCAGGTGTTTCCTGCTACTTCTCCCTTATTATCTACTTTAGCATGATCACAGGCATATTTTTGAAGCTACACAGGAGCAGTTTTACTTCTAGCTGTAGCTTCGATTATTTTACAGAACCAGAAATCAGTAAATGAAAGAGCTTTGCTTCTGAGGCAAAAAGTAAAGCTTACTAGGAGAGCTGCTTTTGCATGAGTGTGAGATTACTTGTTCCATAATGGGCCTCTGAAGCTTTTGGGGAACTTCTGTGGGAAGGGGGGTTGTGAAAAGTTGGTGCTGTGTCCACTTGGTTAGCTCATTACTTTACAGATTTCTAAAGCTTTGTTCAAGGGTAAATAAAATGATTGGGTAGGTGGTTACTGTCTTTTTCAAAAGGAGACTTTAGAGGAGTCCCCCTGATTCAGCTCTGGAGCTCAGAGCAATTGAGCCTGCAGCAGTTTTCTTGTGCTGTGAGATTGTCACGGGTGTCGTCTTCCAGCGTGATCCAGAGGAGGAGGGAGTAAAGTGCTTTGAGGCTGGGGGTGAAGGTGAAGCTGAGTTGCTCTGACACGTCTGTGCGCTGATGGTCTGCTGCTGCTCATTCACCAGCCTGTCTGCCTTTGGGTAAAGATACAAATGGCTTCAAACAGTACTGTTCCAACCATGCCCAGAAATTCTTGCTGCTCCCAAGATGGAAGTTGTCATTCCAGACAGCTCACCTAGCGGTAGTATTGTTGGTTGGATTTTGTTGGAATAATGTGAATGGTATTTAGTGCATCAAGAAATGCCACATTCCAAGATGAGTGCTTTTGCCCGGATATTGTATAACAAAGATGTCATTACTTTGGTGCCGGTCAGGTTAATTAACTGATGTTACTTGTTATTTCCAGTGTTTAAAAAAAAAGATGACTGCTATTAAGCAGTCATATTTTAAAATACTGTTCAACTGATGCAAAGCAAACATGTATTTTGTGGAGAGCAAGGGACACACAAAAGTGTACTTTATTCAATTTAGAGAAATAGAGTCCTGAGGTAGCGCTCTATCCTGGCAAATCTGAATACTAATCTTTTTAGCTTGGTCTGGAGCTCAGCAGAAGTGTTTGGCTGAATCAAATGAAGAAATGGATTGAATTTTCTTATGTAAAAACTTTACTCTTTGGTTTTATTTTACAGTGGTTTAGAAATTGGGGAAAAGAAAGCTTGGCTCTAGTAAGCCTTAGAATTATAATTATTCTTTTAAACAGACTTTATGTCTGTATTAAATATGAGAAGTATACAGGAAGTCATGGTGAAGGAGAAGTTTTAATAACAAATGCTGGGCAAGATAAATATTAGTGCTGCTATTTGAGCGCTTCACAAATATTGGAAAATTAGTCATCTTTGTGTGGAAGGGAAATGTCTTCAAGAAGGGATCCAGAGACACAATGTCTTACCTCTGGCCCATGGAGGAAGACTGGCAATTTTGTATGTCAGCTCTGAATCTTGGGGATAGCAGTCCTGTGCTTTATTCACAGTACCTTAATCTTTTGTGCATCTATACAGCAAGCAGAGAGAGGCTTGTAGTTGTAAAAGAAGCATTAGTATTGTGAACTCAAATGCTAGAAACTGATGTTTTTACTTGGGAGGCTGTGCGAAGCGAGAGCCAACGTGAGACAGTTATTAAAGGTCATAGTTAAATAATGATAAAACCTTCTCATGCTCATTTTTCCTACTTCTTTGTTTTCTTTCCCAGGCATCAATTTTGGACTTGCACTCTGGAGCTCTTTCACTGGGGAAGCATTTTGTTAATCTGTACAGGTAAAATGGGGCTGTGACTTGCTGCCTCTTGTTATCCTACACCTTCAGTGCTCAGTACCTTTTCAGATTGCTCAGACCCTGTGGGCTGGGGTCATTAGTAACAATCTGAAGAAGTTTTAGGTTCAGCACAGCTTCCATGACCAGTTTAAAATCTTTTGTGGCATGAAAACCAATCTGTGATTGAACTGACCTCTTGGAAAGCGACCATTTACCTTAATGACTGGTGCAGGAGTTCTTCTTGCACCAGTAAATAATAGTCTTTTTTTCACAGTTATAGTCTAGTTTGTCAGCAGTGGAAGAAATCAAGTAGCCTGAACTTGTAAAAAAGAATTTGAATCCATGTGCTGATTTCATTATATGGGAAGGGATTTTTTTTTTCTCATGCCTGGTGAATTCCATTATCAGTTGCTGTGTCTTGATCCTTTAATCTTTGAACATTTAGTCTTTGAGCAATGCTTTGGAAACATCACGCTCAAAAGCATTTGTAGGATTTTTTTTTTTTTGGTATTGTGTTTTCATTTCTTGATTGTGGGTAAAGCGCAGGTGAGGGTGAGTGCCTCTGGGTATTACTCAGGCAGTCTGGTTCAGCAACTTCTCTTTTAAACTGTTGTTTAATTTTTCAGGTACTTTGGGGACAAAATTCAAGACGTCTTCACAGAAGAGGATTTTGCATTATATCGGTAAAGATTTTCAATAACTGCTGGATGAACCACAAAATATATCTATTTTTTTTGTAAAGTGCAGGTTAGAAGGGGATTGTCCTTTAGATTCAGAGATACAATTGAATTTGCAGCTCAAAATAGTAATCTCCATGAGAATTAAGTTGCCTTAGGGAAAATAAGTAAAAGGACCTTTTGGTGACTATCTGATACTAACATCTGCTGCTTTGAACTTCACTGCATTACCAGTGTCAGGGCAGTATTGATGGTGTCAGTGGAACCAGAATGATGGCAGCACCACACGTTTCCCTTTCTGTGTAAGGGCTTGGTGCCAGCCCTGCAAGCAAGGAGAGCTGCTTCATCTGAATTCTGTGCTTATATGCTGGAACATCATAGCTGGGATGCAAAATCCTTCAGCGTTAACTCCTGTTTCACACACATTATCCAAGAGGGGTTGTGTTAGATGATAAAGACAATCCTATACTGTTATTACATTAGGAACTTGGGGTTTTTTGGGTGAAGTGTAGCAAAACATTAGAAATGGTAAAGCAGGAAGTGGAAGGATTTCAAATTACTAATGCTCTGGCTAGAGAAGCAGAGCATACTTTCCCCCTAAGAAGCCAGAATATGAAATAGCGTTATAATGTAATAGCTTTGGCATGTGATGCTTCTAGCTTTCCTGTAGACCTGCTTATATACTTAACGAAGACAACAAACATAATGAGTACCATGTGTCTGTGAAGGTGTGTGGCCAAGTTTAGGAACAAGCATTCTTTGTTGACTAGACACAATAAATCTTTAGTTATGTATTTCAGTTGCTTTCTCATAATTTTAAATGTACCTGGATTGAACATTTTGACTCTTTCTGTCTGTCTTTTTTTTTTCTTTTGTGAAGGAATATGACCTCCCTCTAGTGGCAGAATTAGTATTAAGTAGCCAAACGGGTTTATTAGTTTTATTGGTATAGCATTTTTATTTGTCTTAAAACATTAACTGCTTACAGCTTATTTCTATTCAACTGCTATTTTTAGATACTGTTGTCTTCATAGATGAACTTTGTCAAAATGTATTTACTTGTGCCCCCAAAATCACAAAAATGAGATGCTTCCTTGATTATTATTGAACTTTGACTGTATATAGAAAATATATAGTCTCTGCCTCACTGGGATAGTGGGGAATATTTTGAAAATAGTCTTTGTTTTTGTCTTCCATTCTGTAGAAGATCAAAGAACCTGTAGAAATAATGTGAGTGTATGGAGAGTGTGTGTTGTGGTTTAACTCTGGCCAGCAAAATCCCACAGAGCCACTCTCACATCTCCCTCCCTCCCTTCAGCAGAGGGGGAGAATCGGAGGAAAAAGACCAGGAACCTCCTAAAATTGAGATTAAAAACTATTTACTAGTTGAATAAAATGAATAATATATATAAATATATAAATTAATGTATAGACAAATAATAATGAGTAATTAAAATAATAG